GTATGGCAAAGTCCAACCGCTGCTTGAAGAAATCACCTCGGGAATCCTCAAAAGGAAAATTTGAAAAGCCAGCTTGCGGGCGAAATCGTTTCGCAAGCAATAAGGTTTCCTTAAGTAGGCTCCCCGCAGCGTGGATTTGATACGTGCATTTCACCAAGGTCCCTTATTCAACTTTATTTCACCCCAAAAAAATGTCTCAGAAGAAGATGTGAAAATCAAGGAGAAAGTGACGAATTGCTAACATTTGAAACTCCTCATTATAGATACGAAATTTTATCTGAGGGCCCAAATGGAGTACCCATGAAATATGGGAATATTGATGAAACCGTTTATCATAAATGGACATGCGTTTCTGAGTTGACTGATGTGTACTGCATGCAAGTTCACTCATGTACAGTATATGATGGCCAGGGTGGACCACCAGTCACTGTCTTGGATGCAAATGGAACTTTCAGGTCTTCAAATTTGCTGACAAAGCTGGGCTCTATTTCAATTGCAAGATCCAGCTAACAATTAAGGATAACAATATGGATGCTCGACTGCCGTAAGTTTTTGTTTCAATTTTTTGGAAGCATTCAAAGCACGAAAGTTCTTATACAATCTATGAATCAACAGCCTACCAAATTTTTACAGGAATACCAATAACCACATTGTCCCATGGAAACAAAAAAATATTTATTCAAAAAAAAGTCTACTTCATATTTAACAAGTAATCTTTCTCTTGATTTTTGTAACCTGGTATGCGGATATTTCCTTTTTTGAACTAAAAGTTTTTTTTCTTAGGTCATAAAATAATACTCGGGTTATAAAATAGATGTGGGCGTCCCAATCCGAAAATCCTTGACGAAGATTTCTCAGGATTCGAGGATTCGTAGAAGTTAAGCGTGATAAGATAAGAAAGAAAAAGTTCCGTCTTGCTTGAATTTCGTTAGTACAACAACATTAGAATCTTTTCAGAAAATCCATATACTGATCCCCTTTCGACTAGTGTACAGGACATTTAAAACCAATGAACTTGTGTACATTCAAAAATCCTGCAGTTTGGGGTTCCGAGAAGGTG